GAGACTCAATCTCAAAAAAAAAAAGAAAGAAAGAGGAAAGGAAAGGGAAGAGAAGGGAAGGGGGAAGGGAAGGGGAGGGGGAGGGGGATGGGAAGGGGAAGGGGAAGGAGAGGGAAGGATACCATTGTCCAAGTTCTTTTAAGTAATAGAGAAAGTAGGACCACTGACTTATTCGTTTTATGGGTCCAATAGAATAGTGATATCAAAGCTTGACGAAGCCATTACAGAAAAGGAAAATTATAGGTTAAGATCTCTCATGAAGTTGGAGTCAGGCCAGACATGGTGGCTCACACCTGTAGTCCCAGTACTTTGGGAGGCCGAGGTGGGCAGATCACTTGAGGTCAGGAGTTCAAGACCAGCCTGGCCAACATGGAGAAATCCTGTCTCTACTAAAAATACAAAAGTTAGTTGGGCAGGGTGGCCGGCGCCTGTAATCCCAGCTACTTGGGAGGTTCAGGCAGGAGAATCACTCGAACCCGGGAGGCAGAGGTTGCAGTGAGCCAAGATCAAGCCACTGCCCTCCAACCTGGGCAACAAGAGCAAAACTCTATCAAAAAAAAAAGCACTGAAGTCTCATGAAGCAGCACTCAAGAGGGTCTCCTCTCTGCCTTAGTCATACCACATTGGAGAGTGTTTCCATGGCCACTGCACCGTATAGCCGAGATCATGCCCCTGCACTTCAACCTTGGGGACAAAGCGAGACTCCGTCTGAAAAAAAAACGGAACATAGAATAATAAAAATGCACACAAATCCCCTGTAGAAATGGGGGAGTGGAGGAAGGGCAGGTCGTGTGGGGACAGAGTGCTCACCTTTCATAGTGGCGCTGGATTATGAGTAGCTAACAATGGTTTATTTTTATTTTTTTTATTTTATTTTATTTTATTTTTTTTGAGGCGGAGTCTCGCTCTGTCGCCCAGGCTGGAGTGCAGTGGTGCGATCTCGGCTCACTGCAAGCTCCGCCTCCCGGGTTCCCGCCATTCTCCTGCCTCAGCCTCCCGAGTAGCTGGGACTACAGGCGCCGCCACCACGCCCGGCTAATTTTTTTGTATTTTTAGTGGAGACGGGGTTTCATTGTGTTAGCCAGGATGGTCTCGATCTCCTGACCTCGTGATCCGCCCGCCTCGGCCTCCCAAAGTGCTGGGATTACAGGCTTGAGCCACCGCGCCCGGCCTCTAACAATGGTTTAGATCTGAACAAACCTCCAGTTGAAGAGCTCAGAAATGAGTGAGGTGTGCCTACTACGGGCTGTCCAGGAGATGGCGCTAGGGGAAAACAGGCTGGCGACGGCAGTAGTTGAGGGTTCCTCTAAGGAGGGAACTTTGACTACGTTTTATAGTTTGAGTACTTTGTTTTCTTGCAATGTGTTACTTTTATTTGCGGCGGGGATTGGGGGTGGGGAGCGACGGGGAATGGTAGGTTTTTTCTTTTCTTTCTTTTTTCTTTTTAATTTTTTTTTTTTTTTTTGAGACAGAGTCTTGCTCTTGTTGCCCAGGCTGGAGTGCAGTGGCGTGGTCTTGGCTCACTGCAACCTCCGCCTCCCGGGTTCCAGCGATTCTCCTGCCTCAGCCTCCCGAGTAGCTGGGATTACAGGGGCCTCCCACCACGTCCCGCTAATTTTTTGTGTTTTTAGTAGAGATGGGGTTTCACCATGTTGGCCAGGCTAGTCTTGAACTCCTGACCTCATGATCCACCTGTCTCGGCCTCCCAAAGTGCTGGGATTAAAGGCCTGAGCTACCGTGCCTGGCCAGTTTGTTCTTTTCTTCTCACCAGTTCCTTCTGATTGCTGCGTGGAGCACAATTGCAGAGGGTGAGGCTGGGGCCGGCAGATGGGAAGGAGGCTGGAGGTGGGACCCACTTATGTGTTAAGCTTAGATTTAATGAGCATCATGCGTGTGCCTGGCTTGGCACTGGGCAGTGCTGGGGACACAGCAGTGACCGTGACAGCTCTGCGCCCCACCCTTGTGAGGCTTACAGGACAGTGGGGAGACTGATTTTAGACAAGTAACTGGATATCCACTATTCCTGGTTGTGATAGGCACTCGGAAGTGGATAGACAGGCTGCATTCCTCCTATTCAGGTCAGGGAGGGGAACGTTGGTCAGAGCTGGGATGGATCCTGGACCAGGACAGCAGAAGGGAATCCACTGTGAGAGATGTTCAAGATGCAGAATGGACCCAACACGCAGCTGAGAGGCCGTGGGAGGAGGGGAACAGCTGGGATGAGGCCCCGGTCTCTAGCTGGGGGACAGGTGTGGGGCCGGGAGCTGGGTTCAGGTTTGGACACGCTGAGTGTGAGGGGTCTAGGAGACATCTGGAACCTGTTGACCCCCGCAAGTCTGGTGAGTCCTCCAGCTTACTCTGTCCCGGCCCCTCACAGCTATCACTTCTAGAATCACAGCCCTGTTGTGATTCATTCCCACCTGGGCCTTGTTTCCTGAAGCCCACATCTGACCGCTGACCCGAGAGAGAATGCCGTCAGCCCCCACTCTAAGAGCCCTGAAAGCCCATGCCTGCGCGCATACACACACACACCCTCTTTGATTTGATTTCCTGTGGCCTGGGTACGTGCCCACTCCCATTGGCACACCCAGACCCACCTGCTGGCCCAAATCCCCATGCGTGGTCTATGCTGAGACACTTGCAGTTGCACACTGGGAACCCCACCTAGGAAGGCCAGAGGAGGCCTCAGCCCTCACCGCTCTCTGGCCACTGTGCTAGGTGTCCCTGGCATGAAGGAGGCAGTGACAGTTACGGGCGCAGCTCTGGGCCACCACCAGGGCTGGCGAGTGTTATTGTCAGGATGATGCTGTCCTTCCTGTGTTACAGAGGGGGGCTCGGGGCAGGCTGTCATTGACCAGAGAGCAGGTGGCAGAGCCCTAGGGGGACCCCAGGTCAGCCTGACCCTAAGACCTCAGTGTGGGAGGGTCTCCACAGCCTGGATTCCAGGAACCCACAAGCCCAGGGCCTAAGCCACAGTCAGCTGTAACAGTAACTGCAGCAGCTGACAGTGACAGTGACAGTGACTGCTCGGGCCCTGGGCTCATGCCTCAGGTCTTCCCTCCAGCTCCAGCAGAGCGCCCCCACGCCTTCCTGCCGCCCCACCCCTTTGAAGATGAAAGATGTGTAGTGGCTGGGCACAGTGGCTCTCTCCTGTCGTCCCAGTACTTTGGGAGGCTGAGGCAGGATGATTGCTTGAGCCCAGGAGTTCAAGACCAGCTTTGGCAACATAGCAAGACCCCATCTCTAAAAAAAAAAAAAAAAAAAAATTTGAAAACAGCCAGGCATGGTACGGCATCTGTAGTTCCAGCTGCTCCAGAGGCTGAGGTGGGAGGATTGCTTGAGTCTAGGTGTTTGAGGTTGCAGTGAACTGTGATAGAGCCACTGCCTTCCATCCTGGACCACAGAGTGAGATCCCATCTGTTAAATACATAAATAAATATGATGGAATATGGCAAGAGCCCATCTCTACCCAAAAAAATAAAATTAGCCAGGCATGGTGGCATGCGCCTGTAGTCCCAGCTACTCAGGAGGCTGAGGTGGGAGGATGACTTGAACCTGGGAGGTGGAGGTTGCAGTGAGCCGAGATTGCCATAGCACTCCAGCCTGGGCAACAGAGCGAGATCCTGTCTCAGAAAAAGAAAAAAAAAAAATTGTGTGCCCTCTAGTGCATTTTCAAGTTGACAAGTAAAACTTTTTTCATAACCTTAAGTAGTTGTGAAGGATGGAATTTCTGGTTCTGGTGTGTTATGATATTGACATGTCCAGACGGCTGGTGCATCCCTTCCCTTCATATTTATCGCAAATTACATACAATAATAATGATTTGATGCCTACCAATGTCTGGTTTAAGGAGATATATATATCTCTCTCTCTCTCTCAGGCATAGTAGCTCACACCTGCAATCCCAGCACTTTGGGAGGCTGAGGCAGCCAGATTGCTTGAGCCTAGGAGTTCGAGACCAGCCTGGGCAACATACTGATAACCCCCATCTCTATTTTAAAAAAAATACAAAAATGGCTGGGCGCAGTGGCTCATGCCTGTAATCCCAACCAACACTTTGGGAGGCTGAGGTGGGCGGATCACGAGGTCAGGAGATCGAGACCATCCTGGATAACATGGTGAAACCCCGTCTCTATTAAAAGTACAAAAAAATTATCCAGGCATGGTAGCGGGCGCCTATAGTCCCAACTACTCGGGAGGCTGAGGCAGGAAAATGGCGTGAACCCGGGAGGCAGAGCTTGCAGTGAGCTGAGATCACGCCACTGCACTCCAGCCTGGATGACAGAGCGAGACTCCGTCTCAGAAAAAAAAAAAAAAAAAAAAAAATTTTAGCCAGACATACCTGTAGTCCCAGCTACTCAAGGGACTGAGGTGGTGGGAGGATCACTTGAGCCTGGAAGGTCGAGGCTGCAGTGAGCCACGATTGCGCCACTACACTCCAGCCTGGGTGACAAAACAAGACCCCGTCTCGAAAATAATAAAAATAAAAACAAGCTCTTCTTTTTCAGTCAGAAATTTCACATGGTTTCTTTTCATTCGTGTACTTTTGTATTTACAGTCCACATACCCACAGAATTCCATCTAATTTATATGTCGGCAACCAAAATACATACAGAAATTTACATGTTAATTTCCTGTGACCATAAGGTTCTAAATGCTAAATTGTTTTCTTCTGGATTGAGTTAATTTTGAAATTATTAATAGTGCACAGTTACTTTAAAATGTTCATTTTTTGGCTGGGAGCAGTGGCTCATGTCTGTAATCCCAGCACTTTGAGAGGCCAAGGCGAGTGGATCACAAGGTCAGACGATCGAGACCAGCCTGGCCATGGTGAAACCCCTTCTGTACTGAAAATACAAAAAATTAGCCAGGCATGGTAGTGCACGCCTGTAGTCCCAGCTACTTAGGAGGCTGAGGCAGGGAAATTGCTTGAACACGGGAGGCAGAGGTTGCAGTGAGCCAAGACTGTGCCACTGCACTCCAGCATGGCATCAGAGTGAGACTCCATCTCTAAAACAACAACAACAAAAGAGTTCATCTTTTATACATTTTCATGAATAATTACTAAACCTTTGAAGTAAAAGAAGATGTTGCAAATGAGTCTGCAAAAGCACCAGACAAGGGTTCCCTCTGTGGTTTCATGTGCCTTGGATGAATATTAATTGTTGCAGGAGTGAGTCAGGGTGCAGCATCAGTTCTGCACTGGTTTTAAAGACTCAAGTGCTGAGAATCTTCCTTCATAAAGAAGCAGCTAGGCAAGGAAGGAGTTTTTGTTCCAGCAACACCACTCACCTCTTGAGCTCCCACCAAGGTATGTGTCCAAAACCTCACTGTGAAGAGCTGCAGCTCTTAGCTGCACCTTCAGGGCTGATGAAATTCTAGGATTGGAGCCATCAAACTTGCAAAATTGATTGATTATTACAAGTGTATCTAAGTGTTCAGAGGCACTTAGCATCGATTGCCACCTTAAGCTGCCCTTTGGAGCCAGGAGCCCCCATCCCCCCCACCCATCTGCAGCCCCAACTTTGCACTTTGGGAAAATAAGGCAAGAAAGGGGGCTGGTCTTTCTCCTGGGAAGTGGGTGGGGCGACAGTGCCAGGGCAGGACAGCCTGGCTGGCGGTGGCTTAAGGGAGGAACACAGGGAGCTAAGCATCTGGCAACTGGACCTTTACACTGTCCATGAACTTTGCGCTGTGGAAGTCCCTGGTGTCCCTCTTGGGGCGTGGCCCCTCAAGTCTGAGGACCTCCCTTCTGGGGCAGTGTTTCTCTTTCTTTTTTTTTTTTTTTTTTTTTTTGAGACGGAGTCTTGCTCTGTGCCCCAGGCTGGAGTGCAGTGGCGCGATCTCGGCTCACTGCAAGCTCCGCCCCCCCGGGTTCACGCCATTCTCCTGCCTCAGCCTCCCGAGTAGCTGGGACTACAGGCGCCTGCCACCTCGCCCGGCTAATTTTCTTGTATTTTTTTAGTAGAGACGGGGTTTCACCGTGTTAGCCAGGATGGTCTCGATCTCCTGACCTCGTGATCCGCCCGTCTCGGCCTCCCAAAGTGCTAGGATTACAGGCTTGAGCCACCGCGCCCGGCCTCAGTGTTTCTCATCCCTGGCTGCTCGCTAGAATATTCTGGTCTTTTAAAAGACCCCTGGGTTACCCAGGCTAGGTGACTGCATTCCCTGGGTGAGAGGGGTGGGGCTTGCAGGGGGCTCCCAGAGCGCAGCCTGACCCCTCTCTTCCCCCGCAGTGTACCACTGGGTGGAGATGCGGACCAAGATGCGCATCATGGGCTTCCGAGGCACGGTCATCAAGCCGCTGAACGAGGAGGCGGCAGCCGAGCTGGGCGCGGAGCTGCTGGGCGAAGCCACCATCTTCATCGTGGGCGGCGGCTGCCTGGTGCTGGAGTACTGGCGCCACCAGGCGCAGCAGCGCCACAAGGAGGAAGAGCAGCGCGCCGCCTGGAACGCGCTGCGGGACGAGGTGGGCCACCTGGCGCTGGCGCTGGAAGCGCTGCAGGCGCAGGTGCAGGCGGCGCCGCCACAGGGCGCCCTAGAGGAACTGCGCACAGAGCTGCAAGAGGTGCGCGCCCAGCTCTGCAACCCCGGCCGGTCCGCGTCCCAGGCAGTGTCTGCGTCCAAGAAATAGGAGCTTGCTGGACCCTGAATTTGGACATGGCCTGTGTACCTAACGTGGCCTTCTTCCCACGCCACCCCTGCCTGTGCTGGCCCAGTGGAAACCACCAGGATCTTGGTGCAACTTGGCATTTGGTTACCCCTGCTGATAAGAGCAGCAGTTACCTGCCACTGGGACCAGCAGGTGAAGTGTTGCAACATAGCCCTCTCCATCATCCTTCACCCCCTAGCCCCGACTCCAAACCAGGACGACCTGCAAAGTCCCAGCCAGCAGGACACCGCGGGCACTCTGGCAAATGAAAAAAACGGAACCTGGTCTTGAGCTGAATCAATGTGTTATTGTTACCGCTCCCCCCCACCCCACCCCGGTTTACCTGATCAGTGTTAACCTTTACCGGGACACTCATCTGTTACACTGGAACACCCTCTTCTCTTTGTCAATGGGTACAGACCTCTGTAAGGAAATGCAGTGTGTTGCAGTGGTCTTTTCTCCCCCTCACCTTCTAAGGTCAGCTCTAGTTGAGCATCACTGCTGTCTTTAGGAGAAAAAACAAAGGTGTGGCTGGGAGCCATGGCTTATACCTGTAATCCCAGCACCTGGGGAGGCTGAGGCGGCCAGATCACTTGAGGTCAGGAGTTCCAGACCAGCCTGGCCACATGGTGAAACCCCATCTCTACTAAAAATACAAAAATTAGCTGGGTGTGATAGGGTGCGCTTGTAATCCCAGCTACTCGGGAGGCTGAGGCAGGAGAATTGCTTGAACCCACGAGGTGGAGATTGCAGTGAGCCAAGATGGTACCATTACACTCTAGCCTGGGCGACAGAGCAAGACACCATCTCAAAACCAAAAGTTAACTAGGCGTGGTGGTGGGTGCCTGTAATCCCAGCTACTTGGGAGGCTGAGACAGGAGAATTGCTTGAACTTGGAAGGTGGAGGTTGCAGTGAGCCGAGATTGTACCGCTGTATTCCAGCCTCGGTGACAGAGTGAGACCGTGTCTCAAAAAAAAAAAAAAATCCTGGCCGGGCATGGTGGCTCACGCCTGTAATCCCAGCAGTTTGGAAGTCCGAGATGGGCGGGTCACTTGATGTTGGGAGTTTGAGACCAGCCTGACCAATATGATGAAACCCCGTCTCTACTAAAAATACAAAAATTAGCCGGGCATGGTGGCATGTATCTGTAATCCCGGCTACTTGGAAGGCTGAGACAGGAGAATTGCTTGAACCCGGGAGGCAGAGGTTGTAGGGAACCGAGATTGCACAATTGCACTCCAGCCCAGGCAACAAGCAAAACTCCATCTTTAAAAAAAAAAAAAAAAAAAAAAACCTGGCTGGGCGCGGTAGCTCACGCCTGTAATCCCAGCATTTTGGGAGGCCGAGATGGGTGGATCACCTGAGGTCAGGAGTTCGAGACCAGCCTGACCAACATGACAAACTCTGTCTCTACTAAAAAATACGAAATTAGCCAGGCGTGGTGGCGCATGCCTGTTATCTCGGTTACTCGGGAGGCTGAGGCAGAAGAATCGCTTGAACCTAGGAGGCGGAGGTTGCGGTGAGCCGAGATCGTGCCATTGCACTCCAGCCTGGGCAACAAGAGCGAAACTCTGTCTCCAAACAAACAAACAAACACAAAAGGTCCTGGCCTGCAGTCAATCCGTGGAATCATTGTACCTTCCCTTGAGGCCCCAAGTGAACTATTCCAACAGAACACTCTCATCCTTGAGTCTGTGGCACGACCCACTAGAATGGCGCTACAGGATCTTTTCTGTGAATGTCCTCCAACCCTCTTTCCATGGTGGGAAATTTGATCCTAACTAGGGCTAATCCAGCCTGTCCTTCTGCCTCAGCCCCCTATTTTCCTGTCCTCAGAGTCCCTGGAGCTTGTACTGTGTGGCATGTCCTTTCTTGCCTTCCCCACCTTGCTCAGCATTTTTCAGGGCCCCAATCGAATCCAAGCCCATGAATTCAGTTGTCACATCCTTCATCTTCCATCCGCGTCTCCTAATCTGTGTGTTCTTGCTTTCTTTCCTCGGAGCTCTGGACTGACCCGACAGCCCGTCTTCATGTAGCGGTACCCTCCTGCCTCCATAGCCCCCAGTCCCACCCCCATCCTACCAATTAGGCCACCAGTTGGCCTTAACTCCTTGATTAATTTCCTGGGGCTGCCATAACAGGTCACCAGTGGGTGGTGAACTTGATGGCTTCAGTCTAACAGGAATTTAATTCACACAGTTCTGGAGTCCAGAAGTCTGAAACCAAGGTGCTGACAGGGACACGCTCCCTCTTCCAGCTCCTGGTGATTCCAGGCCTTCCTTGGCTAGGCCTCCAGCTTCACATGGCCTTTTCCCTCTTCTTTTTTGTCACTCACCAGAACACCTGTCATTGTATTTAGGGCCCACCTTTTTTTTTTTTTTTTTTTTTTTTTTTTTTTTTTTTTGAGACGGAGTCTTGCTCTGTCGCCCAGGCTAGAGTGCAGTGGCGCGATCTTGGCTCACTGCAAACTCCGCCTCCGGGGTTTATGCCATTCTCCTGCCTCAGCCTCCGGAGTAGCTGGGACTACAGGCGCCCGCCACCACGCCCGACTAGTTTTTTTGTATTTTTTTAGTAGAGACGGGGTTTCACAGTGTTAGCCAGGATGGTCTCGATCTCATGATCTCGTGATCCGCCCGGCTCGGCCTCCCAAAGTGCTGGGATTACAGGCTTGAGCCACCGCGCCCGGCCTTAGGGCCCATCTTGAGTTCAGAGTGATCCCACCTCAAGACCCTTAATTACATCTAAAAAAACACTTTTTCAAATAAACTGTCATAAGTACAGGTCCTGGGGGTTAGTATGTGGACATGTCTGTTGGGGGCCCACCATTCAAGCCATTCAGCCCATACTCCTCACCCCAAGAGTATGCTGGCGTCCAGGTGCAGTGGCTCACACCTGTAATCTCAGCACTTTGGGAGACCAAGGCAGGAGGGAACTCTTTGAGCCCAGGAGCTGAAGACCAGCCTGGGCAACACGGTAAGAACCCATCTCTACAAAAATAAAATAAAAATATTAGCCAGATGCAGTGGTGCATGCCTGTAGTCCCAGCTACTTGGGAGGCTGAGGCAGGAGGATCACGCGAGCCCTGGAGGTTGAGGCTGCAGTGAGCTGTGATCCTGCCACTTTACTCCAGCCTGGATGAGAGAGCGAGACCTTTTCTTAGATAAAAAGTACCCTGGGACTCCCGCCAACCCTGCGGGCCATTTAGCCTTCCCGCTAGCTGAGAGGAACAGTCTAGGAACCCCCCTTTGCTACTGGGTTTCTCTTCCCGGATCCGCCACTGAAGCACGGGGCGGGTGGGTCCCACTAGCCTGCAGTCTGCCCTTCCGACTGTAGCTGTCTGCTAATTAGAGGAGCCGCAAGGTGATGGAGGCATCCTGAGGCTGTATCTGAGAACCATCTTGTGGATCTCCACAATGGGTACAGAGCTTATTAACATAAGCTCTGATGGGAAGGGTTCTGATGGGGAGAGGCCCAAGAGTCACCCTATGAGGTGGGGAAACTAAGGCCAAGGGTAAGCAAAGGGACTTGCCAGAGATGCCACAGCCAATGAGGGGCTGACTGCCCAGGGCGGTGAAGTAGTAGGGGCAGAGTGAGGGGCTTGTATTACCCTGACTGCAGAGTGAGGAGGGAGAGGCGATGGCTGAGCAGAGGCTGGGGGGGTGGCAATCTCTACACAGAGGCCCAGGCCGTCCCAGAGGTGGCGTTGACAATGGGAGACCCTCTCTATCCCCTCTCAGAGCAGCCCCGGATCACACCTGAGATCATAGCATTGTGTACACGGGCGACCATTCCACCTGGGCCTGCTCTCGGGAAGCTGCAGGTGAAAGTGGGAGGGCCGGGCTTTCCCCCACTTCCGTCCTCACCTCCCTTCTCTAAGGAGGTAAATATGGCCCGGACCAAGATCTGCCCAAATAGAAAGCCAGGAAACAGGTTCTGAAACAGCTTTTCTGTTCTGTTCTGTTCTTTTCTATTCTTTTCTTTTTTTTTGGAGACAGAGTCTAGCTCTGTCACCCAGGCTGGAGCGCAGTGCTGCGATCTCGGCTCACTGCAGCTTCCACCTGCCAGGCTCAACCAGTTCTCCTGCCTCAGCCTCCGGAGTAGCTGGGATTACATGCGCCCACCACCCACGCCTGGCTAATTTTTGTATTTTAGTGGAGATGGGGTTTCACCAGGTTGCCCAGGCTGGTCTTGAACTCCTCACCTCAGGTAATCCACCCGCCTCGGCCTCCCAAAGTGCTGGGATTACAGGTGTGAGCCACTGTGCCTGGCCTGAAACAACATTTCAGTTCCTTCTGGAAGAGGGGGAGAACTTGGAGCAGAGGGAACTGATCGAGTGGGTCCTGAGTGGGGCTATGTTTAAAACTGGGAGTGACCCAGGCCGCGCATGGTGGCTCATGCCTCTCATCCCAGCACTTTGAGAGGCCGAGGTGGACGAATCACATGATGTTAGGAGATCGAGACCAGTCTGGCCAATATGGCGAAACCCCGTCTATACTAAAACTACAAAAATTAGCCGAGTGTCGTGGCACATTCCTGAATCCCAGCTACTCGGGAGGCTGAGGCACGAGAATTGCTTGAACCCAGGAGGCAGAGGTTGCAGTGAGCTGAGATCATGCCACTGCACTCTAGCCTGGGTGACAGAGTGAGACTCTGTCCCACACACACACACACACACACACACACACACACACACACACAAAGACAGAGGTGGGAATGTGAAGACAGGCAGGAGCTCCAATTCCTGACCCCAGCGCCATCCTGACCCAGATGGAGTGCTGCTCTCACATCTCAGAGACTTCGTACTCAGTCCTGCCCTGCCCTGACAGGCGGCCAGTCCTCATGGGCAGCAGGGCCATCTACTTCCCCCACTGCGGTGCCAGGGGTGGCCGGGGTGTGTGGAAATGGAAAGAATGTCCTCTCAAAATGCAGGAGGCCAGAGGATGGTTCACTGCTCGTGTGTTCTACTAGCTAAAATTGTGTATACCTTGCAATGTGGGGAGAGGGGTTAGAATAAATTTGTAAATGAAGCTGATTGTCTTCAAGTTGATGCATTCTTTTTTCATATTTAAAAAGTCCTTGGGGCTGGGCGCGGTGGCTCACGCCTGTAATCCCAACACTTTGGGAGGCCAAGGCGGGTGGATCACCTGAGGTCAGGAGTTCAAGACCAGCTTGACCATCATGGTGAAACCTCGTCTCTGCTAAAAATCCAAAAATTAGCCAGGCATGGTGGCGTGCACCTGTAGTCCCAGCTACTCAGGAGGCTGAGGCAGGAGAACCACTTGAACCCGGGAGGCCAAGGTTGCAGTGAGCCGAGATCATGCCACTGTACTCCAGCCTGGGCAACAGAGCGAGACTCCATCTCTAAATAAATAAATAAATAAATAAAGTCCATGTCAACCTTAGGAAAAAATATCCTTTATTCTTTCACTCGAA